TACATGCAGCAGGTGACTTCAACTGGCCGCTTCTGCTTTGTGGAGGAAGACTCAATAGTGACTTGGAGGGAGATTCAGTGAAGAGGATATAGATGAGGAAAGCACACTGGTACCTTCCTCAAAGACCGCCCCTGGAGCATGAAAAGCATGGTGTGGTGCATGCATATGTTAACCGCCTTGGGTTGTTTAGAATAGATCTTCAGAAGTACAGTTCTGGATTGAAGGCGTAAACACGCGACAGGCTTGGTGCGCACTGCAAGGAACACAGACCCATTTGTCTTGCCCCCCACATTCTGTGAGAATTCTTGTTCCTTCATATCACACCAGAACCTGTTTGTGTTCTGAAAATACTGAGCGCATTTCTTTTAACAGCTGTATGTATAGAAAGAGACTGCCATGCTGTCGTATATGGTGCAAGTTCTTTTCCTGTTGCTGTGTGTGTGTGTGTGTGTGTGTGTGTGTGTGTGTGTGTGTGTGTGTGTTGTTCTTGTTTGCCTTTTAGTTATGTCTGTGGCTTTCAGAGGCAGGGATAAATTTACTTTATGTAGCCATATCTACAGGGTCATTTTTTCCCCGCGTGGCTTTGCTCTTTGGTACAAAACTGACAAGGCCCTTCCTAATCTGCCTGTCCTGTTATTTTCATCCCTATTTTCCGACCTCCATTCCCCTGCCTACCTCCAACTAAGGGGAGACCATGAACAAATGGCACTTCACAGGAGCCAACACACTAGAGAGGATTTCTCCTTCCCAGGCCCCTAATGGACCTCTCCTCTGTGCTTATGGACTAGTGGTATTAGCACCCGTAGATGCTCCTCTATAAACTTCCCCCTCAATTGTGGCTTCAGCTTTCTCTTACCTCAAATGTTCTACCGCAGATTCCGACTCAGAAGGTCCCCCAAGCATGAAGATTATTTTAAACTCCACACATAAAGGCAAAGTATTTTCAAAGGAAAGAACCTGGCAGCTGTGGGAACAAAACTCGTCTTCAGAACAGATGGCAGGGGCAAGGGTTGGAGGGGTTGGGCAGGGCAGGTAAGACAGGATTTGACTTCAAAGAACAAGACGGTGGTAGTTTCCACTGACCAGACTTGTTCTGCCATTTCCACACTAAAGGTCACTGGAGCTTGGCAGAAAGGCCTGCATGAAACCCACTTGTTGTGTGTGTCTTCTCCCACCCTGGCTTGGCCCCACAGGGATGGCCAACTGCTCCCTTGATCCTGCTGGGTGGGGATGGGAGTTTATGAATCCCACCAAGGTGATCCGTCGCATATCCCCTCCATTACTTTTCCCTCCGGGTGTAAAGGAAATTCTTCAGATTATAGCCGCTTGGGAATGCAACAGTAGGAAGCGGTAACCCACCCACCATTCTTTTCACATTCTTTCTGTAAATGCAGCTGGTAGATAAGCAGCATGTTTGTCTAAGAATCCTGGGAACTAACTTGAAAACATACAGAGTGTGGCCTTCAGTCATCCCAGTTCCCAGGGAATTGCTGACCTTCCGCCCTAGAGCCGGCACGATGGGGACCCGCGTGACGCACACCAGACCATCACTTGACAGGTTTCAAGATGCTTATCGGCGTGTACCGTGCAGGCCGCCACGTACCACTCTGCAACCCCTGCCCTCGATGTCTTTGTTCTGCTTTCCTCTCTCTGCCTGTAAAATCCCTGCCTGCACTGAGATGGGGTCACGTGGCGATGGGCTTTGAGACAAGAGTCCCTGTTTTCCCAGGTGTCCCACACTCAATGGACCACTTTGCTTTTCACCAGCATTTGACTCAGGAGTTTACCTGGCCGAGGTCAGGTAATATGACTCTAAGAAATGGGAATGACATAGAACAATGCTGATGTGCCAAGGGCCAAATGAAAAAATAAAACACCATGTAGAAAGCTCGCCCTAACTGGTTTGGCTTAGAGGATAGAGCTTCGGCCTGCGGACTGAAGGGTCCCAGGTTCGAGTCCGGTCAAGGGCGTGTACCTTGGTTGTGGGCGCATCCCCAGTAGGGGGTGTGCAGGAGGCAGCTGATCGATGTTTCTCTCTCATCGATGTTTCTAACTCTCTCTATCCCTCTCCCTTCCTCTCTGTAAAAAATCAATAACATATATATATAAAAGAAAACTCTTTGTATATTATAATCAAGTACTAGGAAAAGACGAGCTATACATATTTAAAGAAAAAGGACCCAAAAGTAAAATTTGAAAACATCTCCCAGTGTTTCCTGAGCCTGCTAAGTGCTGGTCCTCCTCCTGGCGCCGAGGGAAGAGTGCAGCCCACCCGCACTGCAGCCCCTGCTCTCACACACGGGCTCTGCTGCTTCTGGATCATAGGCCACCGCACCTTCAACTTCACAGTTACAGACACTGCCAACAGTTTGCAGTATGCCTCCCTTATTTTTTCAGTAATGTAACTAACAATCTAAAAATGACTTTCCAAAAGGAATAACTGAGTTTAACAAGGGGAGGTTGAAGTCCTGATGCAAAAAAGAACCTTAGTATATTTAAAATGCACCTTGTGTTTGATGAAAGATCTCTAAGAAATTGACCCCAAAACACTCTTTATGGTTATTACTGGAGGATAGGAACGTGGATTAAACTACTTTATTATATTTTATCCCTCCCCTATCCAATTTCCTACAGTGAGGTTTGAGTGACTGCCATCATTGAATCATCTATAGTAATAAAAGCATAATATGCAAATTGATTGAACAAAGGAACAGCACAACGAATGCTTGGATGACCCTCTGCAGGCGATTGATGGTGGGACTCTGTCATCCATCACCCCAAAGAGGGAGGCCCAGGCCACCTGGCTGGCAGCCACAAAGGGAGGCCATGGCCACTAGGAGGCGGCTGGAGGCACTGTCCTGGATGGGCGGGGCCTCCCTCTGTGTAGCAATGGATCTGGGGCACCAGATCCACCCCACAGAGGGAGGCCCAGGCCATTGGTCAGCTATGGTGTGGTGTGTGAGGCTGGCCAGCAATCGCCCCACAGAGGGAGGCCCAGGCCAGCCAAGCGATCACACCCCATGTCTGTTGCCCACAGAGGGAGGCTACAGGTGGCCGGGGAGTGGGGGGTAGCTTTGCACAGATGACAAACAGTGGCAGCAGCGGGGGCGGGGCCAGCTGCTGGCAGCCTGGGGAAGGAAAGCCCAGATAGGCCCTGATTTCTGGCCAGGCCTAGGCCCTACCCGAGGAATCCTGGATTGCAAGAGGGTTTCCCAGGATTGCAAGAGGGCGAAGGCAGGACTGAGGGATAACCCCCACCCCCCACCCCCTGCAGGAATTTCATGCACAGGGCCTCTAGTGTATGCATAAAGGTCCATAAAACCCAAAATGTGTTGGGGAAAGCCAATGAGGATCCCCTTCTGAGAAGCAGAAATAATTGTTGCTAAACAACCCAGGCAGCAGGCTAGAAGAACAGGCGATCTGAAAGGCACAGTGTTCCAGTCTGCAGATTAGAAGTTTCACCTGTGAAGCCCCTGAAGGAGCAATTTAGTGAAGGTGGTTGCTAAGGCAGCGAAGCTGCTGGGACTGAGAAAGTATCTACCAATTCTGGAAAAGACACAAGTATGTTTTTTCAGACACAAAGGGCGGGGGAGAGGAGGCCTGGCGTGGAACACGATGCACCACTGCCCTCTACTGTCCAGAGAAACTGAAGGCTGCAAACTGTAGGTAACAACAGTCTGCTGAGCTCATATACCCAGCCAGGTCTGATCTCCCCAGGGTGCTTATGTCAAAGGGGAAGGGGAGGGGCTTCAGTACCTGCTCAAAAGGTCCAGCAAGACTACTTACCTTGTAGCTCTGGGAACCACCATAACAGGGGCCTGAAGTCCAGGCAACTCGGAAATTTTCTAACAGGCCAAGGTGCTGCATTCCGATTGGCGGCTTCTGGGCACGCGCGCAGGAGTCCAGTGAGGTCGCTGCCAGTCGCAAGCAGGTCAAACTCGTGGCCTTGTGGGTCTCGTCCTAGATCAGGACAATGAATGGGAGCAGGCGTGAGGACGGGGTCTTTTTGTAGACCCAGTGCCCCTTGAAACCCCTGATCATCCGCCCTCATTTAAGGCATCTCCCGTCCCTTGGGCTAATCTCTGCTTTTTCTGACCATTACTGTCATCAGGTATGTTTTTTGAGACATCCTCTGTCCCGTTATTTTGGAAATCTAGGGGAAAATGGGAATTTTATTGCAAGAATCATGGCTGAGTTTCTCTGGTCAGCAGGTGGCAGCATGGAGCCACGAAATCCTCTCTCCCCCTCCTTTTGTGTTTGGAAAAAATGCTGGGAGCCATTTCTGGAAGAATTGCTCAATTGTTTCTGAACAGGAGCTGGCTGGTTCCTTCCTGGGGCTGAACTGTTCCATTCTTGGCAGTCCTAGTGAAAATGAGGTGCCTTGGTTCCTTAGCCTCAAGTATTTCTGATTCTCTGAATGGTCTTCCCATTGGCTTTGAACCAGTATATTTTTTTCAGTTAGCCCTAAGCACGCAAACCTCAATGCAGAATATTTGGGAGACTCATAACATATAATAACGTAATCTAAACCCCAGTTTTATCACCCACCGATGACCATTGATAATGTGTAATCCATTTCTTTAGAGGTCTTCCCATCCATAAAGGTGCACTGCACACAGAAGGAGATTCTTATTACATTGTGACTACAACATATTGTATTAAACTCAGGTTTTTCGTGTGAGTTAGCTGTTCTAAAAATAATTTGTAAGGACGTGAATAATTTTTATTCCTTTTTCTTCTTAGTCGCCTATATACTCTTAAAGAGTGAAAATGCGATATTTGATAATGGAGATAAAAAACAGAAATAAACCGTGACTCCTATCTCAAAGAGAAACACTATACCAGGGGTGGGCAAACTTTTTGACTCGAGGGCCACAATGGGTTCTTAACCTGGACCAGAGGGCCGGAACAAAAGCATGGATGGAGTGTTTGTGTGAACTCATATAAATTCAAAGTAAACATCATTACATAAAAGGGTAAGGTCTTTTTATTTTTAGTTTTATTCATTTCAAACGGGCCGGATCGGGCCTGCGGGCCGTAGTTTGCCCACGGCTGCACTATACTGTTACCTTCCTAAGGAAGGGAGCTATCTTTTTGGCTTTGTTTTTGCTTAACATTATATTTTCAACATAGGAAATCCACTTGTTTTGTCTGTCCTCCAGCATCCTTACTTTATTATCCCCATGGTAAGGGCCAACTGCTCCCTGCTTCTGTCCAGTGGGCCTGGGGATTTACAGAACCCACTGAAATTTACCATTTAGTCACTCCATTATTTTCCCCTCAGGCCCTAAGGGAAATTGGTCTGATTTTAGCCATTTAAGAAGACAGAGAAAAGACAAAGGAAGAATAATCACCCACGTCCCAAACAGTTTCAACATGTTTTGCATATCACTTTCATTTTTACAGTCATTGTGAAGTTTTTATGGTTGATAGTATGCTATTCCTGTATTTTCTTGAAATTCAACTTTGCTGATACTGAGCCAAATGTTTTGTCCACTCCACCTACACGGTTTTAGAAATATAAACAATACTGGTATGAAAACTTTTTGAATAAATACACACCCACATTTTAGACAATTTGCCTTGCACAGGAGCCTACAAGTTGCTACATACTGCTCCATGCCCTTACCCAGGAATGTAAGTCAGAAAATCAGATGTTAAGAAATGCTAATGACTTAGAGGAATGCTGATCCACAAAGGGCCAAATTAAAAAAAAAGCAAACATGTAGAAAACTGTTTGTACATTATAATAATTGAGGACTAGCAAAAGATGGATCTTAGATATATAAAAATAAAAACGATCACAAAAGTAAACTTTTGAAAACATCTCCCAGTATTTCCTGAGCCCGGCTAAGTGCTGGTACTATTCCTGGCGCCTAGGGAAGAGTGCAGCCCACCCGCACTGCAGCCCCTGCTCTCACACACGGGCTCTGCTGCTTCTGGATCATAGGCCACGGCACCTTCAACTTCACAGTTACAGACACTGCCAACAGTTTGCAAGATGCCTCCCTTATTTTTTCAGTAACGTAACTAAAAATCTAAAAATGACTTTCCAAAAGGAATAACTGAGTTTAAAAAGAGGAGGTGAAGTCGTGATGCAAAAATGACCCTTAGTATATTTAAAATGAACCTGGTGTTTGGTGCAAGATCTCTAAGAAACTGATCACAAAATATTCCTAATGGTCAATATTGGGTGATGGGGCTGTCGTTTGAATTACTATGTCTCCTAGTGAGGTCTGGGTGACTGTCATTATTGAACACTGTATTGAAAAGGCCCAGAAAACCCCAAACAGTTGGGGAAAGGCGGTGACTCTGGCCTTCAGAGTCGCGGGACTGCAAGTTGCTAAGGAACCCAGGAAGGACTTTGGAAGAATCGTCCATTTGGAAAGCAAGTGGTTTTGATCACAGAGGAAACCGCTCACTGGCCACTGCAGGAATGAACCACCGTGCCCAGGAGCTGCGGGAAGAGTGTGCGGGCCGCTGTGCAAAGGGCCCTAAGGACTTTCCCCTGCTCGCTGCGCCCGTGTTTTTTCCATACCGAAAGGCGGGGCGGAGGGGGCTGGCCCGCGCACGGCCCTCCACTGCCCTCTGCTGGCCGGAGACACCGGGCCCCAATCTCGGAGGGAAACCCGTGTTTCCCGCGGAGTTGCTGGCGGGGCCAGAGGGACCGGGGCCGGGGAAGGCTGACTGGGTGGAGAGGAGGATCCCGTAACGGGGGGAACGCGGACGGACTCCGGGAAGTGGCCCTCGGGGCCCTCAACACATACACAGGCGGGACAGGCGCACAGGAATGACGTACAGAAGGGCCGGTTCTGCGCGCTCATTGGCGGGTCCTGGGCATGCGCGTTGGTGCGCAGTGAGGTTTCTGCCGGCTTCTCTGCCAGCATCTGCTGGAGGTTTAGTCCGGATCCTGCTGCAAAGATCAGCGGCGGGTTTGGACAGGAGTTTTGAGATTCCTGTGGCCCCGCGGCCCTAGTCGCTGCTCTGCCCCACCAGCAGGACTGGTACCACCCCTGGTCGTCACCCTACGGCCTCTCCCCAGCTGTGGGCACACTGGTCTCCTGTCATTCTCTCGGTCCTCTCAGACCTCACTCCGCAGAACCCTCCTGGGACTCAGGGCCCAGGAGCCCAGCACGGACAACTCGGAGCCCCTCTGCAGTCCAGAAGGTTCTCCCGCGACCCAGCCGAGCATCCCCCTGCCCAAGGTCATGCCCTGGGTATCGGAAGCTCGGGGCCCTCCATGCCGTCCTTGTCTAGCATTCCACCCTCTTGTCGCTTCAACAGTTTCCCTGGCTGTCTAGCTCCCTCCCTTCTAATGCACCTGCTTAGACAGCCTTGAACCCCTCTGGTGCCTCCAGTGTAGAGCCCACGGCCTCCCTCACCTTCCACCAGGCCTCTTCTCTACAGCCGTCCCCGGAGTATATAATCTGCTCCAAAACAACTCTCATGCTCTTTTCACCGCCTTCCTACTCTCCTGTTGTGCCCCCATAGGGACACAGCCTGCTTGTGCCTGAGCACCTGAGCTTTGATGAGACAAATATAAACCTTACTGAACTGTTTATCTTAACTGCATAACCAGGGGGGTTGCTTCTCACTTTCCCTCTCACTCTACCTATACACCACTACCTCACTCACGAGCAATCCTACTTCACCCACTGACCTCCCCTACTATGGCCTGCAGCACACAGAAGCACTGAGGTCCAGCTCCTTAGTGCTTCCCAAACTCAATGGACCTGTTTTTTCTGTGACTCTGCTTCCCCTGAGCATACCTGCTCCTGAGTGCAGCCAGCCCTCACCTGTGCTCAGGATCCCATGCCTTCCACCTGCACTTATGAGCCGTCTCCTAAAGTATCACCTGCTCTTTGTACACTGGACCACCCCACAACAAATGGGGGAAACCCGCCTCCATCCCACATGTCATTTTGCAGCTACTGGCACGTTGATGGATTAATTCCAAAGCCAAACTGCTTGAACTCCTCCTGAGACCATTTGCTCCTCCACCCCCTTCAATACGACTTATTTTGCCTATCATTCCACTGCAACTGGTTTACTCAAAGCCACCACTAATGTTCACGTTTTCTGAGCCACAACCACTTCTCTGTGCTCATCTTAGGAAACAGTCAGTCAGTCATACTGGTCACATGTGAGCACTGCATTCTTTATCACTCTGCTGCACTTAATATTTTTGAGGGGAGGGGTGATGTGCCAGCGGTGCTCACATTGTTAGTGACAAGGTACACATTGCACAGTTGCCCGACTGACCTGGATAGAGCATGGGAAATCTTCATCAACACGAAAGACGAGCCCCAGGAGAGTGTCCGTTGCAGTCACAGGAGTTCGGCCCACAGAAGCAGAGACGGGAAAGTACCACAGCTCAGACAAGGAAGGTGAGTCAAGACGTGCAGAGAGGCTCCAAGTAAATGGACCTTGAAGGTGTTATGCTCAGAGAAATGTCAGTTAGAGAAAGACAACTCCCTTAGGAGTGCACTCACATATGGAATCAAAAGCACAACATAAATGAAAAGCAAAACAGAAACGGACTCATAGACACAGAGAACAAGACAGACGGTTGCCAAGGAGAGGGGGTGGGGACTGGGTGAAAATGGAGAAGGGACCAAGAAGTGCAAAGTGGTCGTTACAACAGAGTCATGGGGCTATAATGTACAGCGTAGGGATTATAGTTAATAATCCAATATAATAAAGACCTATATGCTAATTAGACTGAACAGCAGAACAACTGGGAATGACTGGTCTCTATGACACACACTGACCACCAGGGGGCAGACACTCAATGCAGGAGCTGCCCCCTGGTGGTCAGTGTGCTCCCACAGGGGGAGCTCTTCTCAGCCACAACCCAGGCTGACAGCTGCCAGTACAGAGTTGGTGGTGGGAGCCTCTCCAGCCTCCTCAGTAGAGGTAAGGATGTCCGACTGCAGCTTAGGCCTGCTCCCCGCTGGCAAGTGGACATCCCCCGAGGGCTCCCGGGCTGCCAGAGGGATGTCTGACTGTCAGCTTACGCCCAATCCCCCGGGGAGCAGGCCTAAGCCAGCAGGTGGTCATCCCCCGAGGGGTCCCAGTCTGCCAGAGGGCACAGGCCGGGCTGAGGGACACCCCACCCCCGGGGGGCACAAATTTTTGTGCACCAAGCCTCTAGTGTTGTAATATGTGCGTATGGTGCCAGGAAGGTACTGGGACTATCGGAAGAACACTTTGTAAAGTATATGACTGTCTAACTGCTATGCGGTACACCTGCAACTAATACAGAGTCATGTGGAATGTAAACTGTCATTAAAAAATAAACGTTAAAGAGGTGTCCTTTCCACAAAGACCACCTGGGGCACTGTGAGCCATAGAGGTGTTATAGATCCCCTTCCCACATCATCACACAGACTCACAAGCCACAGGTGCTCCTTCCCAATGGGAAAGACCTGGAGATGTGGGGTAGAGATCTGAGAGTGAGCATTCTCACTGAGGTCACTGAGCATTTGTACACATGGACCACGCACATGTTGCATCTTAGCTCAGCTAGCGGATTAGAAGCCAAGGCAGGGGCCTTTTCTCCCTCACGAATATTATTCCCGTTCAGAGGGCGGGCACTGCTGCTGAAGATCAGCACAGTCGGGCAGAAGGCATAACCCAAGTGCCGGTGCAGTCAGAGGAGCACCTGTGACTCTGGGATGTCGGCACACCTTCCCCACGGGTGCTCCTGTGCCCGCCGTCCAGTCTGTCCCTGTGAGAGGCGACCTGGGGGTCCTTGCCTCCCCCTGCCTTTAGCCAGGACAGCGTGTAGCCTGCCATGAACGGACCCTAAAACGGATCACAGCAAGCGGACAGGCCCAGACAGACTCACCGAGAGGAGGAGCCGATGAGGGTGTCACTGAGGGCAGCGGGGTCTCCTCCAGGCCGTCCTCGCCTCCACAGGCCATGCCGGGCTCCTTCTCCTGTAACAGCACGGGCCATCCCTGCAAGGCCGGCGTCCTGGAGCTGGGCTGCAGAAAAAGGTTTCCAGAGCCAGGAAAGGAAGCCTGGGGAAGGTGCAGAACGTCAGTATGCTTATTAGGAGAAGGCGCTGTTTTCCTCCTTATTTCCTTGGGAGGTGAATCATGCCAGTGTCCTCTCTGAGGTGAGGCCTGGGTGAGTATCGCAAGAGCTGCTGACAGGCCCAGAGCATCTCCCAGGATGTCTTGCCCAGCCGGCTGTCCTCGGACATTGTATTCTTTAAGGGGAACCCGGTCCTTGCGTCCTACACATCCCGGCCCTGAGCACAGCACCGCCTTTTGTCCAGGGGGAGCAGCCATCAAACCCTCTTAGTGATGGGCAGATCTCAGGTCTCCACTGCTGGGCAATTCAACTACCCTGGCCTCTGGAGTGTGTTTTAAACAGAGGAGAGCCCATCGAATAATGCAAAACCATCAAGTCAATGTCAGAAATAGTATCCACTGTACAGGACACCTGGGGGTCCCTGTACATGGGATCATGTGACTTAGGAAGCATTTACAACCCCCTTCCCTCATTGGGTTCTTGCAGCTCAGAAAACCGTACCCTCTACCCCCTTCTTCTTAAGGGGACAGGAAGGATCTGAGGCCCTAGAGCAGGGGTGGGCAAACTTTTTGACTCAAGGGCCACAATGGGTTCTTAAACTGGACCGGAGGGCCGGAACAAAAGCATGGATGGAGTGTTTGTGTGAACTAATATAAATTCAAAGTAAACATCATTATATAAAAGGGTACGGTCTTTTTTTTTTTTTTTTTTTTAGTTTTATTAATTTCAAATGGGCCGGATCCGGCCCGCGGGCCGTAGTTTGCCCACAGCTGCCCTAGAGCAGTGGTTCTCAACCTTCTGGCTCTTTAAATACAGTTCCTCATGTTGTGACCCAACCACAAAATTATTTTCGTTGCTACTTCATAACTGTCATGTTGCTACTGTTATGAATCGTCATGTAAATATCTGATAGGCAGGATGGTCTTGGGCGACCCCTGTGAAAGGGTCGTTCGACCGCCAAAGGGGTCGCGACTCACAGGTTGAGAACCGCTGCCCTAGAGTCTCTCAAGGGGAAACCAGGGACTTGTCCCCAAGAAGCCACTGGGATCCTGTTGTCTCAACCCGGTGACAGAAAGGGTCAATTTGTAGGAAGGACGTGGTTCTTCCATTTTCCGTCACGGTCGGCCTCAGCCCCGCTCCCCATCGTTTGCTGTCTCAGCTCTGGTCCTCCCCTCCCCCACCCCCACGCAGGGGTGAGGAGCTGTGGGAAAACACGGACTCCTGCACAGAGACCCTGAGTGGCTAGAGTGCCCGGCTGTGCCCAGGTAGCAGCGGCAGAAATCTCAGGGACTGGACCCGGCTCCCTCACCCGAGAGCACAGGCTCACAGTTGTCTCATGGTGGCCCGAGACCTGTGGCCCTCGGTAAGATGCTGAAGACTTGAGTCATGTTTCTCCCTGCCCTTCTAACAACCCACCGTGCCCTTTGTCGGGATCTGTGGGGAGATGGATACCCACCTCCGCAGGGACCAGAACCAGAAGCGAGCTCCTCTCTACTGCCCCATGGCCCAGCCCGCTGTTCCTCAACTCAGGGACCCCAGAGCACAGCCCCATCACCAGCAGGTGTGAGTGACCCAGGCCAGTCTCATCCACAGGGCTTAGCCTTACAGATGCTTCAAATCCATCCGCATCCAGGGCCCAGACCAGGCAAACCTCTCCTAGCTCTCCTGGCTTCCTGGGCTTCTACGGTCCTGCAAGGAGAAATGTCTGCAGAGACATTTTGTCTGAACTTGGTGGCCATTCAAGTGCCCATGACTCCAGCTCCTGCCGTCACCCCAACCCCAAGCCCTTGCACCCACTGCCCTCATACAGGACTGCTGTCTGGCCCTCCCATACAACTCACCTTCCCTCTTATGCCACCTTTGCCCAAATGTCCAATTCTCTCCCCTTTCCGGAGTTAACTCAATCGTGTTCTCCCGGATACCACCGATTGCGGCCTTTGACTTGGAAGCTGCTGTAACTCCCCACACATAGCTGCACGGGTCTCAGATGTAAGAACGGGAGCGGGAGTGAGGATGGCGTCTTCCTGCAGACCCAGGGCTGCGTGAGACCCCTGCTGTGCACTCCTCACCTTCAAGCATCCCCCCTGAGCTCATCCAGTGTCTTCTGGACCCTGCCATCCACACCACGGCCTCAGGGCGCTCAGGGTTCCTGGTACCTGCGTCCTGTGATTTTGCCCCTTGTTATGGGGGACACACCCTCAAAGGGCACACCCGGAGTGCACCCACCTCTGCTTCCAATGCCCATGTCTGGGTTCCTTGGAAGCCAAGCTTCTTGGGAGTGTAGACTCCAGTAGCCTGTTTGTTTGGTCACCTCTCGATCCTCCTCCGTGTCCCCCTTCCAGGGAATGTTCCCTTGTGAACCTCTCCAAAGAGCTCCATGTTGGCAAACAAAGTACCCAATGCTGTCTTGCACACAGTCAACACTTTCCATTCTCTCAACGCCCTCCTTTCTCTTCATCTCTCCCACCTGCTTGGTTCTCATGTGTATCCCCTTGTGTGCTGATGGCTTGCTGCATCACCAGGTCTACCTAAGCAATCTCAGCTGGACCGCAGAGCCCCTTCAGGCCGAGACCTGTGGGCACCTCCCCTCAGATGTCACACAAGCCCTGCAATTCTCCAGGGGACCCGAAACCTATGTTCCCTGTGTCATGGGCAGGCTCTGCCATCTACCCATGTCCTTAAACCAAAATCCTAGGAATGCCGCTAGGTGTGACCTCCACTACCCCATGCCTCCCTTCGCCGTGCTCTGGAAAAGGCTAAACCATGATCTTCATGTTCCCACGGATGTTGGTAAATTCCCCATGTGAGGGCTCCCTCTTCCCAGTCACTGATGGCGTCTATGTCCTGGTTTGGCTGGGCCCGCTACAGGAAGTCCTAGGAGAACCTGCACCCTGTAATAGTCCCGACCCACTGAGATGCTCACCTCCTACAGGAACTCCACAGATGCTGTTTGAACTCCAGGGATCAGGCCATAGCAGCAGTGCCCATCGTGGCTGGAGGAGAACGTTTGCTGCGGCAAATGTCTACGGCTGTGCACGAAACATGGGTTGGCTAAGTTTTCGTTTTCATCATAAATATCCAGGCCTATGTGGTCTGTCCCGGAGAGCACGCATGAACGTGAAAACACATGATCATAAAAAGTGAAAATGCCCCTGAGTGAATGTCACGGAGAAGCCTGACAGCTGGTCCTTCGCATGGACGGGTAAAATCTCAGCTCGCTGTACTTCCCACAGAACTCCTGTGCTCTGCCCCATGACGGCCTCTGTACACGGTCTCCCAAACTTTTAAAGTAACTAAGCACACGGGATCGTGACAGGAAATGAAAAGCAGTAAGATCGGTTAGCGAAGGCAAGGTTTCAACTTCACACTTTTGGTTCCAGGACCACGGAGGAGAGCAAGGACAATGCTGGCTTTAGCACACAGGTACCTGGGCACGTGGCTCCCCCCCGCCCCCCCCATCCCGAGTGAGCTGTCAGCCAGCGCGGCAGGTCATGAGGAAAGCCCGCTTCCTCTGGAAGGAAGTCTCCCAGGCCCAGGGCTAGGCTTCCTCCCTAAGGATGGCTGTTGTGGGAGCCGATATACGATTAAGCTATTAAGCTTCCTCCGACTGACCTGTTGGCAAAGGCACAAACAGTCCCAGCTTAGAGGGCACAGTCCTCTTAGCATAATTAGGCTTGACCTTATGACGCTCCCGAGATCTTATCTGGGAAGCTAATGGGCTGAGGGAGGTGCAGCAAGCCTGCTAGGACTGACCTCTCATGTAGAGAGGTGGGCCGGTAGCACCACCCTCAGCAAAGTCACAAACAAGTCCCAGCTTAGAGGGCACAGCCCTCTTAGCATAATTAGGCTTGAACTTATGATGCTCCCTAGATCTTACCTGGGAAGCTAATGGGCTGAGGGAGGTGCAGGAAGTGGCCAAAACAAGTGAACCTCACAAGAACAGTGTAACTATGGTAACCACTACCTTATTTACCTCTGACTATAAAATAAAGGCTCAGTTTGCCTTGGGATCTTTCTCTGTGGCCTCAGCCAGGTGCAGGAAGATCCACGGAGACTAAAGATAGCTAGAGAGTTCTGAACGCTGTCTCCGTGTAAAACATTCTTCTCCGACTCCGTCCACACCTTTGGGAAACCCTGGACCCCCGGGGCTGGACCCTCGCAGGCTGTTTCCACGACAGCAATCCAGGCTTTCACGGGAGGAGGACTCAATGAGGCTCCTGCAGGGGCCACATCCAGACCTACTGACTCAGCCTCTGGGCGGGGGGAGGGGGTGCCCAGGACCCGCTCTTTTAAAGAGGCTCCCGGGCAGTGGAGGCACCCTGTGGTGGGGAAGCCTAAGCACCCCAGTGCCTCCCCTGTACTGCTTTCAAATACCATCCTGGGCTTACAGCCAGGTTTGCTAATCCGCTGTGATGTGTCTTGCCTTTTGAGAGCTGTCTATGGCATACTTCCTTTAACCTATACTCACACTCAGAACAATTGCTGGGAGTGAGGAGTGTGTTTATGCCACACCTGCCCTTGGCTGCCTGACACCAGGCAGGCGGAGAGGAGGGAGAAGGCTGGCTGCTGGAAAGGCAGCTGCATTCTGTCATCTTGGTTACGGCTCTGCTGCGCATCCCCACTGGGTCCCGAGCTGGGGAGGGCGCTCTGTGACGAGGACAACAACCCTCCCCACTCTGTGTGCCTTCCTGTGATTTGAGGCTGAAGCTAAGGGCCCAGCTTGGTTGCCAGGGAAACTGTAGCTGGGTCTGTGGGAGGCGTGAAGAACAGGCAACCCGAAGTGGAATTGCAGACGCGGGGTGGATTATGGGAGCCGGCCCTGGGCGGTGGAATTGTGAGTCGACCATTATGTCCACCTGAAGGGCGCCTGCGCAGGAACACTCAGGGACACACAGGCAGACAGGCGGCCTGCACACTCACCAGCTCTCCTCCTGGCCTTTGCACAGTGCCTCCCTCTGGTGGAGCATGGAGGACACTGCAGGAGGCAGGGATGGTGGACCCAGAACACAGAACACAGAAGAGGCAGGGGAGTCCTTGGCGTCATGAAAGCGATGGCACAGCTTGGCCTCCATGGCTGGGGCATTCGCAGTGCATTTCGCAATTACCTGTACCGAGGTGTAATGTGCAGTTAGTGTGCACAGCAGGGAGTGGTAGGAAATTTAAAGGGTTCTGCCACCGTCACCACACTCCAGTTTGAGAACCTTTCTGTCGTCCCAAAGAGACCCCGTGTTCCTGTTCGCAGTCCATCTCCACGACCACCTCCGGGCCCAGGCCAGCGGCCAGCTAATCTCTGTCTCCAGATGGACCATTTCTGGGCATTTGGGAAACACTGACTCATGGTTACGCTACCCCCACTCTCTCCCAGTATTTCCCTGCCTCCTGGCGCCTCTGATGTCTGGCCTGGAACTTGACATGCTGGACGTGTGTGCACATCACTGGATTCTGGCCCCTAGTCTGTAACTGGGGACCGTATCCCGTCTCACAGGTGGCCCCGGGTCTCCTGCTGTACCCCACACGTGGGCGTGAGGACAAGGCCTTTAGGTGGGGAGACGGGGTGTCCGCCGACTCCCTGTTACCCCTGCTAGCCCCTTCTCTTGCGCCCGCATGTAGAGAGGTGGGCCGGTAGCACCACCCTCAGCAAGCCCCATGCCACCTCACCCAACCCTGTTCCTTCTCACCCCGCTCTTCTCCTGCCCCCCAAGCCTCACAGGGGCCAACGAGGCGCTCTCCACCACATGCATGGGTGTCAGATCCCTTTCCCGAGAAGAGGCTCATTGCCCAGGGCAGGGACTGGCTCTGCCATTCCTCCTCCTCCCCCTGCCAACAGCGAGCCTAGCACGCGGGGGGGGGGTGGGGGGGGCAAGGGGAGACGATGGAAGCCGTCTCCAGGGCACAGGGTGGATTGTGGTTGGCAGGACTGACCTGATGTGGCTGCCGGAGTGAGGCCATCCCGGTCTGACCTCTGCCAGTGGGCACGGTCCCCGCCTTCTCTGTAGTCTGCGCGCCACCTCACATCTGGGACGGGAATCTTGCTCCAGGATGGGTCTGTGGGAAAGAGGAAGTCAGCTGACATGCGGAAGCAGGGAGCATATGGTGCGACACCTAGTAAGGAACCCATGACAGCGAAATGCCACGTTCCCCTGCTCACACCCCCCCACACCCCAACATGACCAGGCTGAAGCCAGGCCCTTGTGTTTCAAGAGGGACACGCCCTGCCTCACTGACCTTCTCTCCCCGGGGCTGTGGGACCAGCTTGGAGGGCTCCAGGGAGCTCCCATGCTCTCTGCTGCGGTCACAGCTTCAGAATCTAATAAACGCACCTGTTCTCAAGCCACTTCTGTCTGCAGACGCGGACGTGTTTGTAGCAACACAGCTCTGGGCCCACCTGAAAGCACAGGGAGAGAATGCAGAATTCATTTTCACTCCAGTGGAACACGGTCCCTTCCTCGCTAGACAGGACCAGGTTCAGGGTGGGGGCGAGATTGAATCACTCGTGCCTCCTGAAATGAAATGCATCCTGCCCAAATCCCGACCCTCAGTAACTCTATGACGTGCTGCCTCTGTTGCAGCAGCAGGAAGCTGCTGTTCCCGCTCACCTCCGGGACACCAGGCAACAAGGCCTGGCCCGGAGCCTGAGGCCAGGGGCACCAGCACCACCGCAGGGCCCTCCTGTGGGCACGCCCTCTGCTCCAGCTCTCCCTGCCCCGCAGGACGCTCTTCCTTTGCCTCTGCCCGGAGGATCGGAGGCTGGTCCTGCTGCCGGTCCGCCAAGAGTGACGTGCGTGTTCTCTGGGCCCTCCCTCCTCTCCATCCCAATCTGCTCCTCGTGATAAACTGGGATCTGCTGCTCGGGGACTGGAATGTGGTGGTCGCAGATCTGACAGAGAACGGGCCACGGTGGGTGAGGAAATCTCAATTCTAAACTTAGTTTCCTTTAATTCGTATCTTTTTTTAAAAAATATATATTTTATTGATTTTTTACAGAGAGGAAGGGAGAGAGACAGAGTCAGAAACATCGATCAGCTGCCCCCTGCACATCTCCCACTGGGGATACGCCCGCAACCCAGGCACATGCCCTTGACCAGAATCGAACCTGGGACCTTTCAGTCCGCAGGCCGACGCTCTATCCACTGAGCCAAACCGGCTTCGGCTAATTCTTATCTTTATTGGGTGCCAGGAGGAAGTTATCCATCAGAAACTCCTCCTAGGGCAGCGGTTCTCAGCCTGTGGGTCGCGACCCCTTTGGGGGTCGAATGACCCTTTCACAGGGGTTGCCTAAGACCACCGGAAAACACATATATAATTACATATTGTTTCTGTGATTAATCACTATGCTTTAACTATGTTCAATTTGTAACAATGAAATGGGGGGTCACCACAACATGAGGAACTGTATTACAGGGTCGCGGCATTAGGAAGGTTAAGAACCACTGTCCTAGGGGAGTGCGACTCAGTGATAGGGAGCAGTGAACATTTGCCTGCATTGGGGTCCTATTCATTGTGGCAAAGACCGCAATGGTGCACCCCCACATTCCCATTTCACACCCTCTTTCCACACTTTGTTTTTAAAATGTGTCTTATCGTTGAAAGTATTACAGAAGGCCCCTTTATTTCCCATGGACCCCCCTCTCCACTCCTGCCCCTCCCCAGGCCTTCACCCCAGTATTGTCTGTGTCCATGGTTTATGCAGAGTTTCTTATTAGTTCTTTGATTGATCTCTTCCCCCTCCTTCCCTCTGAGGATCCTCAGTCTGTTACATGCTTTCATGTCTCTGGATCTATTTTGTTTGTCACTTTATCCTGTTCATTAGATGCCTCATATGAGTGGGAGCCTGTGATACCTGTCTTTCTCTGACTGGCTTATTTCACTCAGCATAATGCTCTCCAGGTCCCTCCATGCTGTCTCAAAGGGTAAGAGACCCTTCTTTTTTACTACTGCATAGTACTCCATGGTGTAAATGTACCACAGCCTTTTTATCTATTTATCTACTGGTGGGCACTTGGGCTATTTCCAGATCTTAGCTATTGTAAATTGTGCTGCTAGGAACACAGGGGTGCATATATCCTTTCTGATTGGTGTTTCAGGCTTCTTAGCGTATGTTTGTAGAAGAGGATCACTGGGTCCAATAGAAGTTCCATTTTTAATTTTTTGAGGAAACGCCACACTGTTTTCTGCAGAGCTTGTACCAGGGTTTCTGTTTCTCCACATCCTCACCAGCACTTGTCGTCTGTTGATTTACTGATGGTAGCCAATCTGGTAGGTGTGAGGTGGTATCTCATTGTCATTTTAATTGGCATCTCTCTGCTGATTAGTGATGCTGAACGTTTTTTCATATGTCTCTAGGCCATTTCTATGTTCTCTTTGGAGAAGTGTCCATTTAGGTGCTCTTCCCATTTTGTGGTTGGACTCTTTTGTCTTCCTTTTGTGGAATTGTATGAGAACTTGATATATTTTGGAAATTAGCCCTTCATCAGATGTATCATTGGCAAGTATGTTCTCCCATACAGTGTGTTCCCATTTGATTCTGATCCTGGTTTCGTTTGCTGTGCAGAAGCTTTTTATTAGACGCAGTCCCACTTGTTTATGTTTTCCCATGTTTCTCTTGCCCTAGGGGGTGCATCAGTGAAAATATTGCTAAGTGAAGTGTCTGACAGGATTGCTGCCATTGCTTTCTTCTAGGATTTTTATGGTTTCACGACTACACTGAAGTCCTTTATCCATTTTGAGTTTGTTCTAGTGTCTGTGTAAGTTGGCGGTCTAGTTTTTTTTCTTCTTTTTGCATGTACCTGTCCATTTTCCCATCCCCATTTACTGAAGAGAGATGCGTGAAAGCAACCTCATATTAGCACACGTGCATGGGAGCACTCACTGGGCTGCTGCCCGGAGGCAGTGAAGGCAATGGCAAGAAGCACCTGGGCATCGCGGGGCATTCGCCCTGCAGAGAGTCTTTCTGTCCAAGGAGAGCAGCGCAGGGGACACAGAGACCGGGTGTGAAAGTGACTGCATGCGTCACGGAGCCATGACACAGGAGCTGAGGACCACTGCTGGGCGCCCCCCGGCCTCGGAGCGCCACAGGGCGGTCCTACTCCCCCCAGAAAAGGCCAGGACCTTCCTGGGATCCGGGCGCGCTCATGCCAGAAGCCTTTTCACTCAAACTGGTTGACTTAACCCTCCGCCTACTGCTTACTGTTTGGCCCCAAAAGGAACCCCCCCACCACACACAGCATCCGTCAGGTGAGGTGCGATGGTCAGTGTCCTTCAAGCACGGGAACCTCTTCGGAGCCTGTGGCACATGCTTCTGCTGTCCTGCCACCCCTCCAGTTCGAGCTTGTCCTGTCCGTGCTGCTGTCGGAGTGGCCCTTCTGAGGGAGGGCCGGGCGATAGGGACCCAGGCTGCGCCTCAAGCCCACAGGCCCTATGGGAGGCTTTCCCCGCAGGGAGGCAGTGGGGCCCCCTTCCTCTCCGCAGGCATCCCACCCACAGGCGGCCCGTGGCTCTGGCAGTACCGACATTCACACCTAAATCGGTTCTGATCTCTCCCACCTGAGGAAGAGACTCCGGTTTCCCTCTGACCCGATAAGGGGCCACGGGACCAACGTGTCTCCGTCTCAGGCGTCTCAGAAATGCTTTTGCTCTGAGGGGTCGCTGACCTTTCCCAGGGCCTCTCTTGTAGGGTGTCCTCACCTCGGTGCCGCTGCTGGGGCACCCCTGGTAGAGGGCCAGGGCAGGTGGTGCCAGGCCTGGGGTTCCCTTCACCGGGGCCCCATGGGCAGTTCTGGGAGGGAAGGAGGACAGGCTGCCATGACTTCCCAGGAAGACTCTTCTGAGGCCATCGGGGAAGATGCAGAAATCAACGCTGAGCTGCGTCCTGGAGTCGATGCATGAAGGCCTAGTCCCTGCTCAAAGCTCCAGGCGGCCCTTGGGTCTGGACAGGAAGGTGAAGAAGGTTCTCAAAGAGCCCGATGAACCCCGACTGCAACACACGGTGGTGAAAGAAGAAGGAAAGTCCAGCACCATTCATCCTCACTTTCCTGTCCCTGTGTTTCCAAGCTGCAGAATGGGGAGTGTAAGGAGCCCTACCTCCTGGATCCTTCTGTGTGTTAAATGGGGTAATACACCCCAAGACCTCAAACACTGATGGCTTACATGCAGGGTTTTAGAAAAGCAGTGCATTCATGCATCCAGATATGACATGGAATGCAAAATGACTGGCCATGGTAACGCCCTGCTGACTTTTTGCAAACTGTTCCCAACAATAATTTTAACAGCAATCAACGTGTGACTAACAGGTTTTCTTTTCGTACGCATTCCTAGACTTCCAAAACGTAGACCTTTACTCAGTTCTAAACATTTGCACCATGCTGACACACCCTGGTATTTTAAAAAATATACTTTTATTGGTTTCAGACGAAGGGAGGGGGGAGAGAGAGAAACACCAATGATGAGAGAAAATCATGGATCAGCTGCCTCCTGCATGGTCCCCCCCTCTCACTGGGGATCGAGCCCAAAAGGCAGGCATGTGACCTCCTGGTTCATAGGTCCATGCTCAACTCTTGATCTAGGCCGGCCAGGCCTGACACACCCATTTAATGTTAACCTTCATCCTAATTGGTTGTTTGTATAGTCAGTAGGTTGCTCAAGACTATGGAAATAAAAATTTACTTTAGTACAAATTTATTGTAGTAAAAATAAGAACAATATTAATAAAATTTCTAACAGAAAAAATAGAGAAACCCAATTCCATCGGAACTGGTTCTTTGCAGATGAGAGAGAAACGAGTTACCAGTAGGAGGAATGAAAGGGGTGGTTTTCCTACAGACCCAGCAAATAGGAAAGGGCAATATGGTATCGCTACATCCAACTCTACCTATACAAATGCAGCAGCTTACAACAAGAGGCTCAATTACGCAAAAACCATAAACTACGAAAACTCTCCCGGGTGAAAGAGTGTGCATAGTCCAACATCTTTTATAGAAATCTAAGCGGAGTTAAAGTCCTTTGGAAAAGAATCCAGAGAGTAAATACCAGACACAAACAACGCATACTTTTCAAATTGCACATCATTCTGAATAGTGTGAAGCAATCTTTCGCCATCCAATTCCACCCCCCCCCCCAAGGAGAATCATCCTTTGTCCAGTGTACCCATGCTGTATGCACTACCACCGCCCAGAGGTCACTTAGTAAGCCTCTCAGTTATCAGGCGGACTGTTGAGGTAGCCCATGGCTTGTGTTGAAGTAACTGTTATGTTACTACTAACGAGCGTCTGCATTGCACTAATGGAAAAAGCAGGCACAGACACGTTAACAAACTTGCTCAGTGTCGCCCAGCAGTACGTGAGGAGCCACGGGCCTGGAGGCATTGGGGAAACTCACTGTGATGCGGGTTTGTTGCATCAAGGCTAAGATCCAATGGCCACTACAAAGGATTTCGATTTACAGCACACATGGAACACAGATTGATTTTGGAGCATGGGACTGCACAGTAAATAGGCAGCTGACTGCAATGGAAATCCTTTAGGTGGGAGTTTGACAGGAGTGGGACCAGGACACTTGGTGGAAATGACGCTCTGAGAGCCTCCTCAGTCCAGCCGACAGCACGGCAGCCTCTGGCCTGAATGTGCTGCCTTGGGTCTGTGCATCGGAGAAGGCCAGCCGGTGGTCACTTCTACATCCTCACAATGGACAGCGCAGCCTGGCAGCAGGAACAAGACCGTTGCCCTGTCCCACTAGTTCCCAGACAAGTTGTTTACATAAGTGGGAACCCAGGAACTTAAAATGCGCCCCCTGTGATCCACACCCAGGGAATCCCACTTTGTGTGGCCACCACAGTGCCCTAGAAATGATGATTTTTTTTCTCTGCCAGGAAACTCTCAGGAACATTATTAAATCCTTTAGTAGCCAGCCGGTCTCTAATGTACTGACTCTTTCCGGTGAGACACACGGCTGAGGAGACCAACCGGAAACCTCAGAGGCAGAGAACATAATGAACACGAGAGCCAAGGGCAGGGCAGGGGACCTCTGAGACGACCTCATAACCCCACTGGCCTTCCTCCCTGAAGGGTGCACTGTACCTCCAATCCATTCTTTCATGGCCGGTGGGTGGAGGTAGGCACAGGAGATGACATTTTAGACGCCATAATGACACAGGCTTTTCTCCGGGACCATGCAAGACCCATGAAGTGAGATTATGGGACGCATTATCCCCACCCTCTCAGCCTCTGGTCCTTTCCTGCACCCAACTCCATTCCCTCAAGCCTAGAGCAACCGGCACTTGGGCAAATGTCTTTCCTTCAACTATGAGACACGGACCCTGACCTGAGGAGATCTCTCTCCCTCTCCTGCTTTCAGCTGTCCTTTCCCTGATCTCAGCTGCGGTCCCAAACCAGACAGCTTTCTCCAGCAGCTAAGGGACCCAGCCTGGTCCCTTCCTCTGGTGGCCTAGCCTGGAGAGGGCTTGTTCTCACAGAGAAGGCCCCGTTCCAGGAGCCAAGAGCCACGACTCGTACAGAGCCACCCTGGGCATCCATGGCAGTGGTATACACACACACACACACACACACACACACACACACACACACACGGCCTTATCCGACCATAAAATAGAGGAAAATCCTGCTTTTTGCAACTACAGGTGGACTTGACGGGATTATGCTGACTGAAATAACTTGGAGAAAGACAAATACTGGATGTTCTTGCATATGTGGAAACTCAAAAACCAAACTCATAGAAATATAGATTAGAATGGTGGTTGTCAGGGCATGGGGGAAATGTTGAGTAAATTTCCAAATTCTAGCTATGAGTTAAGTCATGGGGATCTGATGTACCCCGCGATGACTCTAATTAGCAACACTGTGTTCCTTATTGAAAGTAGCTGAGCGAGTGGATCTTACATGTTATCGTCACACACACAAAATGGTAATTATGTGAGGGGATGGAGATGCTAACACACCTTACTGTGGCCATCATTTCATGATATAAATGTGTATCAAATCATTGCGCTGTACACTCTAAACGTACATGTGTTACACGTTGATATGTCAAAGCTGAAAAACATTGTCCACCCCCCCTCCCCCGTCAAGTGGGCATCCCTCCAGCCATGTTCTGTGCCCTCTGATAGCTGCCATCATTCCCTGAACTTACTCTTAGTATTGAAACCACAAGTTGAGCCGGATTCTGTCCTCCTCGCCCTCCTGCAGCGCCGGCGCCAATCCTTTAGTGGAGAATGGTATTTAGAAGCCAGGACCTGGGGGCTAGGTGTACTAGTGCCATTGCAATGCTGCTGGAACCAGCAGTATTGGAATATACGCATGTACACAATCGCACACACACACATATGCATTTCTGTCACCATTCCCACGCATTCTCGTGGACACATACTGAAAACCTTGAGTTCACATGGAGGCCTCTGACTGCAGCATACCACCTCCGAGTTTGTTCTGGTTTGCCTCTTGCCCCATTGGGAACTCCCCTTTCTCAAGCGAGAGTCCTGGCTCCCATCGCCCTGTACATTTCCCGAGCTGATGGGTCCCAATGTATGTAAGCCAGCCCTTCCCCACAGAGAGCCCTCCTCACACACGGTGATGAAGCATCCCCTGCTCTTGACCGCCTCAACCCCTCAGCACTGCATCCCTGAGCCAGCTAGCCTTCCAGCACCCAACCCTGGGTCATCCTCCTGGCCGCCTGGGGCTCTCTCACCCCTGCAGCCTGTCCCCCAGTGTGGATGCCTCCTCCCCGTGCTCGGGTCTGACCCCCAACTTGCTTCCTTGCTCTGCTGCACCTGATACGGTAGCTGCAGGACAGAACTGCTCTGGCACAAAAGGGAAGGGAACGTGAGACAAAGGGGAGGGAAGCGCAAAAGGTGAGCACATTTAGGACCATCAGGTAATTCAGGTGAATCGGGCCCAAGCATGGCAACACCACGAAGCCCCTGACTTCTTTCTCACTAGTCTCCAGCTTCCCTTTCCTGCCCCTCTCCTCTGCCCCAGGTCCTCTCTCATTCATAACATCCTCCCCTCCATCCAGCGGAAAATGTCATCCTGGGCGTGATTCCTGCACTATCATTGCATCGGCCGCTTGGCTGACCTTCAGAGTGGACGGTGTCCTCCCTGAAGCTCCGACGCTCAAGCCCTCTGCCTCTCATGATGGAGCTGAAAGTTTCCCTCCTCTTTTAGCCATTTCAGGTGTGAGCAGGAGGGCAAGCTCACAGGCTACTTCCTGGAGCCTCAGGTCCTTGGTCTGGAAGATGAGCGTGACCCCAACCCCCTCACGGGCCGGAGGAGAAACAGAGATCGCAACACCAGGCACCTCCCATGCGCGCTGTGTGTCAATCCCAGCGCGGAGGCACTTTACCAGGCTCACGGGACTCCTGGACCTCCAGGAACAGGCCGCGTGCATTTCCCCCTCAGCACTGTTGCACTTGCTGTTCCTTGTGCCTGGCATGCTTTTCCCGAAAGCCATCTACGGCTCTCCCTCACTTCCTCCCGGTCTCTGCTCCATCAGCACCTTTCCAGGAGGCCTTCCCCGATCACCCGGAATAAAACACTCTTCCCCCTCACCTGGCCTTATCTTGCTCCTTAACACCGCTCACTCTCACCGATGTGACAGGTTTACCGACAACTCCATGAAATCAGAGACTTTGCCAATTACTGCTCCGTTGTACCCCCAAGTCCTGGAACACACAGCCCGTGCTCAGAAGACGGACTGCGCCCCGGGCTCTTGACACACACTGCTAGGATGGACAGGACCCTCTGGTATGGGCACCGGCCTCATTGTACTGATTATGATCCATATGGAGGCTGCAGGGGACAAGTGATGCGCCCAAGGACACGCAACCAGGACTTGGGGCTCCAGGCTTCGGGATCATACCTGCCAGGTGCCAACACCCTCAGTTCCTGGACGGAGACCTCACAACCAAAAAGAACAAAGACTTTACCAGAGCCACAGACTCCCATACCCAGGGACACCAAATACAGCTCACTGAACACAACCAGAGCAGACGCCAAAAACCTGTCCAGGAGCTCACAACGGGAGGCAGACTCCCCAGCAGAGCAGAGACCATGCGCACTGAGACAATCCGCCCCGAAAGACCAAAGTCCTCAGCCCAGGACTCTAAACGGCCGACGCTGCGTGTCCTAGGACAGACTCCCAAGCAGCAGACACCCCCCAAGTTAATTCAAGGACCGCGCTAACAGAAGGACAGAAGTTCAAAGAACTGACACCTTACGCCAGGGTCCCCAGACAGACCAGAGAACCCGCACCCGGACACAGACCCCCAAACAGCTCAGAGCCTGGATGCCTGAGGGTGAAGCCTCCCCCCCCCCCCCCAACAGCCAGTTCAGCGACATCACAACCTGGGCCCGGAGTCACAAGCTGCTGGAGACCTCACACCCTGGGGGGGCAGACACCCGCTCCGAGGTCTCCCTCGGACACAAATGCCCGGGGCGCAGGAGGTGCACACCAGGTGCACAGGCACACAAGGCCCAGGAGGCGCTCAGACCAGGGCACACAGTCCACCCCAACATCCCGCTCATCACCGGCCCGAGGCTCGGAGAGCACCGGCACCGGCAGCACCCGGGGAGTCACAGCAGCGAGGCCCGCCCCGAAGGCCTGACGCCCTGCTTCCCAGGCAGACGCACCCAAGCTGCGCGGAGGCCCTCCGGGTCCTCAGGTGCTGGCCTCTGCGGACCGAAGCTGCGGTGCCCCGCGCGCCGCTCCAGGCGGGCGACGGAGGGACGGGAGCCGAGGCTGCGGGGCTCACGTGGAGACAGCCCGTCACCGGTTCGCCCGGCCTCGGACCCCGACCACAGGCCGGCGGCACCGATCCTCGCCGCTGACCCGGCGCCACGTAGGCCGAGATCGGACAGTCGGTGGGCGAGCGGTCAACTCGGAGCAAATCCGACATCTGAGAGGCCACGCGACGCGCACACGCCTCACCCTCAGCTCCGGCGCTGCCGCCACCTCGCGGCCCAGACCGAGGGCCAGGGACCCGGCGGGGGGACGGGGGCCCGGACCCGGGTCCAGCGGCAGCCGCTCCGCGCCCTGGAAGGGCTTCCAGCCTCCGCCTCCGGAGGCCAATCACCGCCCCGCACGGCCCCGGCCCCGCCCCCACAGCTGGGAAGCAGTCTCTCAGCCAATCGCCAGCCGGGCTGGACGTGACGTGCGGAGACCCGGGGGTGGAGCTGGAGGCGAGAAAAGGAGGGGCGCAGCCTCCCACCAGGTGGCTCCGGAGCGGCCCGCCCTACCTCCCAGCCCCGCGCGGGTAGCTCCCGGGAAGGGACTCCCCTCTCGCGCGCCCCTCGGCGGTGGGAACCGGGAAAGCGCGTCGATGCAGATGAGATGTCCTGGTTGGCAAGCCGCGGCTCGCGAGCCACATGCGGCTCTTTGGCCCCTTGAGTGTGGCTCTTCCTAAGCCTGACGAGTACCCTAATTAAGTGAATAACAATGTACCTACCTATATAGTTTAAGTTTAAAAACTGTGGCTCTCGAAAGAAATCTCAGTCGTTGTACTGTTGGTATTTGGCTCTGTTGGCTAATGAGGTTGCCGACCACTGCATGGACCACTGTAAGCTGGGCCGTCAGGAGGAGAACCCCACAGCCCGCTGCGGGTGGGGCCCTTGAAGAAGCCTTCCTGACCTGAAGTTTACCTCCCGCAGGGGCCAGCAGGATAACAGGGGCCGGACCAGCGTTTCCCGTGAGCTGGGCACTGAGAGGGCCTGTGCCTCCCTGGGTCATGCAGAATCGATGGGGGGGGGGGGGGTCGGGGAAGGGGGCGCAGCCAAAGTCCCCCAAGGGTCAGGAGGGCTAGAGCACCTGCCTGGGGCCAGAGGCCTGGTGTGGGGCAGGCCTCGTCCTTAACTGTCAGTAGTAGATGAGACGGACAGCAGGACAGCAGGATGTTTGGTTTTGTTAGGGAAGCGGCCATCTCCCAGGCCATCTCCCACACCGTATTAGTGAGGTAGGACACAGGCTTTGTCACCATCTTGTCACCTCTGAGCACGTTCCCTAGGAGAATCCTGGGCCTGTCTAGCTATGCCTCTTGCCACACCTTTGCATTTATTTATTCACTCTCTCAGTCATTTGTTCACCAAAGGAGAGGCCCAGGCTCAGTCAAGGGCAGAAAGCATGTGTTTGAGCAGAAAGAGTGGCCACCCCGGAGATGCAGATCTAGGTAGCGACCCAAACTGCACCCTGAAAAGAACAGAGAAAGTCGGGGTTTACAAAGCAAACCCCACAGAGTGTAATTCTTTCATGCAAATGAACCCTAGCTGGCTAGGTTAGCAGGGGTTGCTCAGTCACAATATGCACAGGAAGAGGGCACAGACTACAGGAAGGAGGCCGAGCCCATATGTTCTTAGAGCAGTTGTTCAGCATCGGGGTAGCCCCTTCATAGCAGCTCTGAGAACTGAGGCACAGGGTGTGCTTGGGCCCCGCCTCCCTATTCGGCTCCGACTCTATTTTAAGTGACTTTCTTAGCAGTGCTCATTCCATGTCATTTATTTTCCATCTTCACATTCATTCTCGCCAGCTTCTGTCAGGCACTATAATGGGAGTTAGGAAGAGAGCCGTGTGGAAAGAGAACGAACCTGGCCCCCCACCCCCGGAGCTGACATTCTGTGGGGACAGAGAGCACAAAAATGCCAGCAGTTTACCAGGTGTTGTTAATGGCTGCGATGAGAAGTAAATGGGAGGGGAGCATTTCTAGAGAGCGTGGTCCAGCCAAGTTTTTCTAAGCTCGTGACATTTGAGCTAAAACCTAGAGGAGAGCATCCCAGGGGGAGTAAGAGCCAGTGGGAGAGTGGGAGTGGAACTCAGGCTAAGGTGTATGAGGAAGGAACAGTGTGGGGGCTGGTGTGGCTGGGACCGCATGATGAAGGGAGAGGTAGAAGCTGAGGGCAGAGGGGTGATGGGGACCGGACACGTAGGGCCTTCTGGGCCACGGGGAGGACTTGGACGGACTCTGAGTGAGCCATGGAGGATTTCTAGCAGAGAAGACCCATGCCCCTTTCAGAGGCCAGAGGCTCAGGTCACTGATGTATGGGGAGGAGCTTCCCGTTTGCTCCAAGGAAGAACCCCATCCCCAGCCCTTTTCAGCTGAACGCATCTTCCCCTGATGGTCCTGTGCACTCAGGATCCTTTGTGCTCCCCATGAAGATCCACATAAAAGGATGGTACTCTCAGGAGAGGCAGAGCAAGGGCCCTCGTGGTGTCACTGAGGTCACACCCAGGCCGGTGTGTGAGAGAGACAAAGGAACAGGCACAGAAAGAATGAGAGAGCATTAGAGAGTCAGACACAGAGAGACTATTTCTGGTAGGACAGTGTTGCCACTGAATTAGTACCCACCTGGTGTCCCCCAGCCCTTCTACTGGATGTTTTTCCTGTATTTTCAGGGGAACAGACACCCCTCTCCCAGGGACTGTGTCTACTGACTGACTCAGTTGCCCATGGCCTGGGCCTCAGTCACACTGTCTTATTAATACATAGCAGGATGCTCTGCCCATCAGGACAAGGACATGATCCAGCTATGGATAGGCTCTTGTTGCGCACAGGCTCCCCCGTACCTCCTGAAGCGTCTGACTGCTCTCTCCTAATCTCAAGGCCCAAACAATGCTTTACAGGCGAAACTGGAGCCAGGGGTCTCTATATATGCAGTGGTGCCTTGTGCAAATTCATGAATCTGAGGTGGTTCCCCACCTGTGTGGATTGACCTCTCTACCTTCCACCCCCATTTTCCCAGGAAATGTAAAGATTCCATTGTGTACATCAAGTTGGCAGGTATGGTGTGTGAGGGAGACAGAGTGACAGACCTCCTGATAGCAAGTCAGTTCCGGGGTCATTGTGGTCCTGGGCAAATGTCATTCTTTTCCCTTGTCTCCCCCTACCCCTGGGCTTCAGCTGTTCTGAGCTCCCATTTGCCTCCTCCAAGGAGCCCAAGTTATATCCTGTTCCTACCCTCTCAAGAGATGTGATATTCCATCTTTACTGGGCTCCAGGTGCCTCATCTGCAAATGGTGACCTCTTAGGAATTCGAGCAGATTTCCCCAGTTAATATCTGGACATAGGTTTGTTACAGGGCCTGAGCGTAGGTGGGGGTGATATCAGCAGGCACTGTTCTTATAGTATTCTTCACATGGATTCCTCCAAGCTGCGTAAGCATAATCCTAAGTATTCCCCCTCTTCTTCTCTCTCTCCTTCCCCCACAGGCATGCATCTCTTAAACTCTAAGGGACCCCACAAGTCTTGCAAACAGGGGAGTTAGGGGCAGTGGCAGCTCTTCCCAGGCTAAGCCCTGAACCTGTTCCCAAGCCCCCCCCCCCATTTTTTTTTACTTACCAGAGAGATAAGGCAGCTCAGCCTAAGCTCTCCTGTTGCTTCTTATTTGCTAATCCCTTTCTTGTTTTACTTGTCCCCAGTTTTAATAAACGTTCCCTCATTATCACCTGGACTTGTGAATTTTTCCTGCACGAAGTCAAGAACCCACACACTACTGGCTGCCTCGTGCACGCCCCACACAGGTGATGGAGCCCGAAACACAGGCATGTGCCCTGACATGGAATCGAACAGTGACCTCCTGGTTCATAGGTCAACGCTCAACCACTGAGCAACACCGGCCTGGCACATAGGGCCTTTTATTTTGTGCCAGACATGTAGGGGAGCGGCTTTGCCTTGGTGCCCTGGTGACCGTGCATGTCCTCACTCAGGTTGTGTAGGCAAAGCTAGACTGTAGGCTGATCAGAATCTTGGCAGATCACTTTGTGATTCCCCTTGGAGCAAAGGGAGAGAAGCAGCCTTTTGAGAAGCTGCCACTAAGCAGTTTCTCACTCGCTTCTCACTTATCTTGAGGCAGTTTTTCATCCATCTCCAGTTTCAGTTGAGTACAAGATGTCCCTCTTGCCCCACCTGAGAATACAGCTGTAGACTACAAAATTCCTCCCTGCCTTAGGGTACAACTGTGGGCTCTCACTGGCAGAGTTACCACCACCACCTGTGGTGTCTGTCACTGAGCACATCTGATTCACTGTCAAATGTGAACAGGGGGATAAAGGGAACTGACACCAAGCTGATCTTGCTTTTGGTGTTTATGTAATTAATAAACTGTTTGAATCCACTTGGGTTCACTGTATCCTTACAATTTATGGAATGGTAAGCTGACAACAATTTCAGTAGGAAACCTGGTGGCCATGTCAGCCTGGTACAGTGCTACTTGAGCACAGCCTGACTAATTGACACACAGGCTGTGGTGTTGAGTTGTATGGTGTTGCATGATCAGAATGTTGCCTTATTTTCTTTGGCATCAAACACAGCATTGAGCAAAGTTTAAGCACATACCATGACTCAGTGTAGCCTTGTCAGACCCGCTATTTATACACCAACTGTAGAATCGATGCCATCCATGTCTGACACCAGCTATACTGCTATTGAATCAATATACTTCTTTAAGTAAAATACATTTCTAAACTCAAATTCATTTAGGAAGGTAGCCATATATCCCTATCAGAAACTCAAACCAGTATTTCATGCTAGAGATGTAATAATAAAGGTAAATAAAATAAAAAATATTTGAAAGTTGGAATATAAGCCAAATATTTTACAGTATAATTCCTACTTTATGCTATCATTTTCTTCCTAGTGACAATTTATTGTACACATTGTAATTTCTCTTTTGAAATAAAAAAACAGACCTAAAGTATGTAATTACTTTCCCACCATTGCGCAGTTAGGATGAGTCAGAGCCAGGATGGAAACCCCTGGCTACTTCATGCCATAGCCTATAACAGTGATGGCGCACCTATGACATGCGTGTCAGAGGTGACATGCGAACTCATTTTTTTGGTTGATTTTTCTTTTTTAAATGGCATTTAAATATATAAAATAAATATCAAACAAATAAGTCTTTGTTTTACTATGGTTGCAAATATCAAAAAATTTCTATATGTGACACGGCACCAGAGTTAAGTTAGGGTTTTTCAAAATGCTGACACGCCAAGCTCAAAAGGTTCGCCATCACTGGCCTATAAGGTGACAGAGTAGGGGGGCCAGAGTAATTTTGCCTCAGCAAGTACCCCTGGTTCTGT